CATCCGCCCCGTCATCGTAGAGCTCGAGCGCATGACAGACCACTGCCTGCTCATCACACACCGAAGCGTAGCCCGCGTGCTACTGGCATACTTCCAGGGCCTCAAGCGCGAGGACGTGGCCGATCTGGACTGCCCACTGGGAATGCTGTACCAGCTCGAACCCAAGCCCTACGGCGTCGAGTTCAAGGCCTGGCGATACAACTCCGAAACGGATGACTTTGACCATCTGCCGGATTACAAGCTCAGACGTGCGCCTACGCTGGCAAACAACTAGGAGCGATTGTCGTTTGATTGGGATTAGAAGAAGGTTTTGCGATATGTGTATATTACTATGGATGGTTGGTTCTTCCCTACAACAAGGTTTTAGAGATGAGTAAGATGGTGGGTTGCCATTACTTTTCGGCGGTTCTTGGTCTCTCCCTAATGCTTGCCCTATGGTAACGGCTCTTTTGACGCTTGGTTGCGATGCTTTCATGAAGTATACATGATGGTTATGGGCATTTACAGGAGTCTCTTTCTTCTTTCTTTACATCATTCTTTGCGTAGACGGTGGTATGGGTATATGATAGATTGATGATCGGATGGATTATGCAATGATGATTAGACTTTGGTGTCTTCACTTCACTTAAATTCTGGAGCTATGTGATGCATGTGATGGTGAATTTTCGCGCTAGGGGATGTATAAAACCTCTCTTCGTCACACCTTTCTCACTTCTTCATGCCACATCTTTCTAGGTCATTATCCAAAATCGTCGTACGCTCAGATGATGTTTGCCCTGGCGGCCTGATCCAAAAGATAGAGAAACGGAACTCATGTGCGCGTCGTCCGCCTGTCTTTCCAACAATCTTTCCAAAATTCCTAGCGAACTATTTGATGAGAATACTCTCCGCTGAGTGTCTTTACAAAACGTACAAGACAATATTGATGGCGCTGGCGACTGTGCTGTCCGAAAATCGACCTACAAAATGAATCATGATTCCTCTGGCCCGACTGCCAGAGGTGTATAAAATACCTCTTCTGGTTTCTCTGCTTCCGGCCAACTATCACGAATCTTCTCCGGTCTTTTCCAAAAACCACCGATAGAGCGTGCGATGTGTGCGCCGGTCTTCTTCTCTCAAAAGCCCGACGCTCATGGGCATGTGCGCTCTCTGCCTCGGCTTCTCTCGAAAAGAAATGCACGTCACAATCAACGTATGTGCGTTCTCCGCCTCGGCTTCTTCCAAACACTTGGGAAACACAGTTCATGTGGAAGACGAGTGTTGAGGAAAACAAAATTCAGATGCGTTCGTGTGATGAGCCGCGAGACTTGTTCCGCTGGCGAAATACCTACTCAACGCCCTAGAGAAAGACATCATGCTCGGGACCGGACATGAGAGATGTATAAATACCTCCTCTTGATCTTCTGGCTTCTTGTCTTCTACAACTACCACCTTCCTCCTTCTTATACCAAAGAATGAACCTGAAGAGTTCATGTTGGCTTCTGCTCCTCTTTTCCAAAACGACGGATCACCAACTGACATGTCTGGTTGCGCTGCTCTCTTCTCCATTACCAAAATCAAAACTCGATCGCATCCCATTCATGGAGACTGTGATCCTCATCCAAATGGTCTGTAAAAGGTGCCATGGAGAGCACTGCTTTCTGCGCTGCTCATACAAAATATTCACAAAACAAATCTCATGGAGAAGTGGAGATGCTGGCGGTGGCGTATAAAATTGTCCTCTGCGTCTTCCTTTCATTTCTTTATTACCACGCTTCCTGTGTGTCTTTACCAGAATGCTGCCAGCACCACGGCATGGAAGTAGAAGACTGGAAGCTTCGCATTCAAAAACGCTTCCCTCGATTCCCATCTTATGTCGGCTTCTCGACAACCTCTTCGCATTCTACCAAAAGAACTAAACCGATTTCTGTCATGTTCATTCTCGCTCTTCTTCCTCGTTCACCCAAAAGCTAAATATCCGGTTTCGATGACTGAGTGTGCTGTCTTCGTCCTACTTCCACGCTCTCTTCACAAAAAACGTCTGTGATAAAACCACATGAGGGGTTTTGTGCGGCACAAAAAATGGGTCCGGGTAGACGCCATGGAGTGAGCTGTACTGAGTAGCGAACTTTCTGAGAAAAGGGTACATGACTGGAGAAGACGAGACGGAGATGAGATATAAAAGTACCTCTTCTTCCCCTCTTCTTCTTGCTTCCTACACACCACTCCTTTCGGGGATTTACCAAAAAGTTCTCGAATCAACTCTGATGGCTGTTCTGAGTTTCTCTCTTTAAAAACAACTGGTTATAAGGAATGTCTGCGGCTCGCAGTCTGTCGCTGTTACTCTAGCATCCAAAAGGCTTGACATACTCAACATGCTCTGGAGATCAGATCTGGCGCTGATCCATAGAGTCTCCTCAAAATACCGTGTCTATCAAAATCTCCAAGGCCAACATCCTATGATCGAGAGCAGAGAGTCTGGAAACACGCCATTGCAGCTATAAAACATACCCGATTCCGCAGTTCTGGCCTTCTTCACTGCTTCCTCATTTCCTGTGGTTTACCCCAAAAGCTCGAGAATTTGCCACATGGCTCTTCTCCTGTCCAATATTCCCCGGTGCTGCACATCATGTCCTGTCCTTCCTTTCCGCCTTTCCAAAACATACTGTTCGAGGAAGCATGTCGGAGTGTTCATGGGAGGAACCAAACAGCTCAATCAATTGGCTCATGAGAAGCACCTCTCGAGAAATAATCACACCAGCGTCAACTCCATGTCGTCGGGACTACAGAGAGTGATATAAAGTCCTCTCTCGCCGGCTTGAGGACTTGCTTTCTAGACTACACTCGTTCCTCGGTCTGCGAAATGTAAAGTCAAAATTTTACATGTGCTCTGCTCTTCTTCTCAAAGCTAGTAAAAGACGACTCATGTCTTCTCGGCCTTCTTCTCGACCTACTATACCAAAATTTGCTCTCTGGCAGCTAAATCTCACTTAAAACACACTGGAATACACTGTATGTGAAGCTTGCTTCTCAAAACAATCTCAAAAATTGGCTATGATTTCGCGGGCCCAGATCTGCCGAATCTATACTTCAGAAGCTCGGTACAAAAGACCCACTGCTGTTGTGCCTTCCTGGCTTTCTTTACCTGCCACTTCTTGTGTTTTTCACCAAAACCACGAGAATTGGCACGCATGGACGTTTGTGCGCTTCTCAAATTACACGTCGCCCCATTCATGTCCTCTCTTCTTCTCTTGTCGCCAAAAGCATCGAGGCCGGGTTTATAGAGAACCAGGACCCGTTCCGAAAGACGACTGTGGGGTATATACATGAGCAGCGTGCCTCTGAAGATCCAAGATGCGTACAACATGACTTCAGCGGTACGGTGGATCGCATATAAAATACTCTGCTCGTCCTCTGCTTCTTTTCTTCTACACTAAATTTCTTCCCATTCTCCTCCAAAATCGCACTTTTGTCCATGCCATGACTCGGCTCGCCTGTGGGCGACGCTTATGTTTTCTTCCGACTTGTCGATCTGACTTCAAGAATTACATTCTACTCACATATCAAAATTCCAGGTTATCACGTGCCATGACGACTTCTGGTCTTGTGCAACAAACTATGCCAAGACGCCGGCTATGATCGGCGCGTTGCGATCTTACAAAAGTCTCATGATGCGATTCCGAAATGTTCCAGCGATTACAACTATGACTAGCGCGAGCGCTGCGTGTATAAAAGCTCCTCCCTCGCTGATAGATTTCTCCATTCTATATTCCACGCTCTTGTTGGCTTTTCCAAAATCGGGGTCTCCCAGTTGATATGGCCTCTCTGGCTCTTTCCCAAAAGTTTATCGGTTCACTGCCATGAGTGCTTTGGCTGCTCGTCCTCTCTTCTTCTAAAAACACAAACTTTGCTCGCATGAGCGAGAAAGTCATCCCCCACCGATACATCTATCGATAACGAATACCCAAAAACAAAAACTCAAGACGACATGACTTGCGGTTGGCGTCGACAACAAACGACGCACATCGAGCAACCATGGTTCTCTGCTTCCTTCACGGAATTCGCTCTTAAGTATCTAGTTACTCAAACAATACGACATAGCTCTCATGACTAGTGCAACACTGTTACCTCAAAATACCACACAAGGACCGTATGCGCGCTCCTGCTGCGTCCTCAAAACTCGGAACGGAAGTCCTATGAGCTTGGGCGCCGAAAACTGTGGTAGCGACGCCATATGCCTCCAAAAAAACATGGAGCCTTTCGATGTCGCGGCCAGACGTTTCGAGAGACAGCTGCGTTTTGTTGATGTGGTAGAGTTCGCTTGCTGGAGACATAAAAGGCCCGTCAGCCTGTCCTCTCCTTCCTGTCATCTCTCACCACTATATTAGGCTCACCGAAAAGCCTCATACGTGCACTCTTGGGCGGCTGAGTCGTTCATTCAAAACGGTGATGCGCTTTATGTGTTGCTGTTGCTCGCGCCTTCCCGGTTGACGGAGCCAGAAGGGTTGAGGCGAGCGCTGTGAACAACGAACCTTGTCGAGTGTGGCTTTTCAGAAAAGACGTCGCAACGGTGGATGTTCGAGAGATAACCTGGCTTACCGTGAGGGTTCCATCGAGTGGCCTGCCGGCTTTTGCGTGGCTGAGAATCTGCTGATCTACTGGGAAGTGCGGACTTGGTCCAGAAAACTATCAAGCTGTCAGATATAGTACTGATGCTGCAGCACTGACATGTGACTATTGACAAACATGCGCTGCAAGGCTGAAGCGTGCATGCGAGACAAGGTAGCCTCGGTGGACGCCACGACGTAGCTGCCGCTTACTCCAGCGGAGGGGCAGCTGAAGATTCTTGCGACGCCTGCCCTGGCGATAACGTGTACCTTTGTTTTCTTCTCATTGTCGTAAACAAAAGGTCAACCGAGCGCCGCCGCTTCTCCACTCTCCACACTCTTTCTATCTCTCTCAAACTACGGCCTGAATCGGTCTACGCGCCCGCGGGCACGCTTGTCATCGCGCCATTCCCAATGGAGGATAGCCCACTTTCCATCACCGCCAACATCGCCGGCCTCCTCACCTTTGTCGTGGCTATCTTGGCATCCATCTATGTCCGTGTCCTGTCTTTGCGCAATGGCAAGGTTGAACTAGAAACCATCCGAAAATCCGTCGAAAAAAATGTCAACGATCTCCTGGAGATGGTCCAGGAAACCACACCAATCCCGACGCCACCATTTCCACCAAGCCCCACCTTCTCGGGATGGGACAGGCGCAACTCTCAGGACGAAGAAACCGATGCTGTCCGGCTTAAGAAGCTGAGCGTGTCTTTGAGTACTACGGAGATAATTATCTACATTTACTGTTGGTACGCTATGGACATGGATAAAGCTGTTAAGAAAGCTACTATCCTGCGGCCTGTGTTATCCTCCTTACGCGATGCTGAAGGCCGAGGTGGAGCGTATCCAGGGGCACTCTTGGAGATTCTGCAAATGCAGGTTCGGATTCTTTCCATAGAAAATATCTTTCAGCCCTTTTGGAACATTCTTCCCAGCCACTGGGAATATCCGAAAAAACTCTTAAACGCGTCGCAAAGAATATTGACAGTTGGTTCATCTCCAACCTTAATACGCTGGTATCGAGTCCGAGAGATGGTTTTGGAAAAGGTGCGTCACACGGAGATGTTGCGATCACAGATACTCTCTCTTCAGGTCTCGATGGCGAACTCGTGAGTATAGCCATGCGCCCTGCCTATATGTTTCCTCGCTAACTGGTGCGTAGTTCAGCTGATAGGAGTGAAGAGGCGCTACAGCGGCTTATAGAGCAACAAGCAGAAGTCAAGGCAAGATTGGAAGAGCTCACCCGCCTGGTGGTTACAGCAAGTCAAGCGCCCGTGCGACTGGAGAACATGAGCGTTAGTGGTATCCCGGCAGAGACGCATGTAACAGTATCGCCTGGTCAACAAGAAGACGTTGAGCGGCATGTAGGCGACGAGGGTTCGCAACTTGAGACAACTGATTGTTGCGAATAGCGATAGCTCGCGCAATATCATTCTCCCTAAAGAATCATGCAACGCAGGTCATTGAGATAATAAGTACGCCCTTCATCACCTGTGAGCTCAGGCAAATCGCCCGTCCACCGACCGTTCAATCAACAGAATACCCTTACCTAGCGCATAATCGCGAAGACCCCGCACAAACTCCAAAAATCGATCAGTGACAAGATACCTACTCTCATCCTCACCCACCGTAATCTGGGTAAGATGAGCGTCAAGTACCTCTTTAGTACATCTATCCGTGATGTCAAAAGCTTCTTTGATATCGCTTTCCTCCTGCCCCCGAATCCGATGACCTCTAATCACGATCCGAAAATCCATTACCATACTTTCTGTGTCTAGATACCGCAGCATGTTAAACACAGTCGCAAATACCAACAATCGCGATACCACGGGGAAAGATCGATCGTCTCCTCGACGGGGATTGTCCCAGATTGATAGACCGTATGGTCCATTCAAGCTCAAATCGACGCCAGCTCTTCGCAGGAGCTCCACGTTTCCTATACTTGGACGATAGTATTCGCTATCTGGATCTTCGGGTCGGTCTTCTAATGTGATTGTACGCAGATTCGGCAGCTTCTGGCCGATGATGTTTTGCAGCCAGATGCGCAAGTCGACGGCCTTGCCCTCATTGGCTATCATAGCACGCAGCGCACGGGGATATGACGTTGGTGCATGTTCGTATTGTTCAAGGGTTTCGGTGCCGATGATCATGTGCTTGATCTCGTTGGCGATGTCGGGGGATGACGTAGCATCACTCAGTGCTTGTATGCTGATGCGAATTAGAGATACCTTCACGGTTTGGAAGCGAAGACAGAAGCTGCGCCATGTCTTTGTGTGAAGTTCTTTGTTGACGAGGCGGAGAAGGCCTATGACTCCTGCCCTCAGAAACGAACCGATGAGTGTGATCAATTCGGTAGGGAGACTTAGTAAATTGGGCATACTGGGGCGGTTTGGCTCATGTCAGAAGCGCTCGGAGTGTCAACCCATATACATTGTTCAGCGTTTGCTGCTCGTCATCCCCTGATCAAGGAACTGTCGTCGATTGGAGAATTATACGTGAAACAAAGCATCATAAGATCTATCTCATCCATCTAGTCTAACCTCCTCCCCACCTCATCTCTTCGCAACAATAGTACACGGCTCCGTCATGTTCCAAGTTCGCAACTTCGGCTCGCCCAGAACATTGCCACCCTGAAGCAGCATTTGATCGTCGTTCTTCTTATCGTCTTCGTCTCCACCACTCATCTTGATGAACTCCGCTTCGTCGACCGTTGCGCCGACTTCGTATGTACCACCGCATAACGCAACGATACCAAGCTCAGACTCCACCGTCTCTCCAGGCTGTATGACCGGCAACTTGCGCTGCAGCACACCTGTCCACGAGAAGCGTTTGTCTAGATCCAGGGCAACGTTGTGAGGGAGACCAGCGACGTGAGGCTGTAGTCTGAGTATAGGCGAGATGGGGCGTGGACTTCGGTTACGGACGAACGTCTTCATGGTGAGGAACTCGTCTATCTGTACCTCGAACTTTGCGCGACCGACTTGTCGCACAACTTCTTCGTCGCCCGCTGCAGGATAGTCGCAGGCGATGGTTGTTTCGATGGCGAGATCGTCAAGCCTGATAGCTTCGACCATGCGTGGCGTGAAGCGGATGCTGCGCAATTCCAGCTCGCCGTGACGTCCATTACCATCCTCCGTCCAGGTTCCGCGCACGATCTTGAGTAGCTCTTCGCGATACCAGAAAGCTTCTCTGCTCGCTCGCTCGGTTTCGGGAGAGATCTTGCTCGTGCTAACGACGAACTGGCGTTGGTTGGCCGGGTTGAGCGATGGTACGGCCGCATGTGGGGCTTTCAAGTAGACCTTTGGGAGGATCATGACGACTCTGCTGACATGCCCCGGTTGTATGACTTCGTTCACACTATGCGCTTCGTCCCAGGAGTCGTTGGTGTAATTGCCATCAACCATGGGCTTTCGGGCTTGGAGCAATATCGAGAGCGGATTTGGCCAGGAGTTCCTGAGGTCTAGGAGGAGCATGCAGTACTCTTCATCGCTATCATCACTCCGCTTTTGACTGATGAAAGAACGAAGATGACCGTCGGCTTTTCCAGACGACCGTGATTGCGAGGCTTCGTCGTCTGATTGAGTGCGCGAGCTTGACGATGCATCGCTAGACCAGGCAATGTCGCCGGATAAGGGTACTATGTCTGGACGTTGGAGCTGCACACTTGCATTTACAGTGATTGAGATGGGCGCAGAGACCTGACGGGTGAAGAAGTGCTCCTCTACTTCGGATCTTCGCTTTCCAAGGTTGGCATAGTCAATTTGTATAGTCGCATCCGTCAGTCTTGTGCGACCGATAACCTCGATGGTGAACTGCGCTTCAGCGCCAGGCTTGATGCTCGGTGATTCCTCGGCCTCATCCTTGCACCAGCGCAAGGACGGATGATGGGCGAGCTGGACTTCCAACTCATGCAATTCGGCTGCGGGCAAGTCTTTGTTGGAAGTCGCCGCTTGTATCGCAGTGGTCGCCGTATCCTGGAAGGAGATGTGGACGAAGTCGACAGTTGTTTCAGTCGAAGTATTCTTCACTGTAACAGTAAATCGTTTCCTTTCGCCTTCAAGCACCATGACGGCTGACTGCGGTAATGAAACATTGGTGATTATAATGACGGGCTGGTCTGGGATTACCGAGAACATCAAAGACTCTGGCTTCGGCTGAGAGGTTGCTCTACTGTCGATGGATGGTGCGATTGCCGAGGAGGGCCGGGATGTCGGTGCCCCTAAACATGCCTTGAGGCCCATGCGCTTCATCTTAGCTTCTCTCTTCGGCTTCCATGGCTCTGGGAATATGGGGAACAGCCGCTCTCTGCAGCCGATAAGCTTGACGTAGCATCCAATGATCTTCAACGACCCTGAAGTTCGCGCAGTTCCTGTGATCTGGAACTTCTGAGTCCTGTAAGGGCCCAGTAGGAAGTGTTCCTCCAGCGCGACAAACTCAACACCTTCAGCAGCTATCTTCAACGACTCTACGCCAAGCTCAAACTCATATGGATTCTGCATGGCTATGACGAAGCGATAGTGCTCATTCGCAACCAGAACTGTATTTGCAGCATTCGTTTGCGGCTTCTTCAGCCAGGCATTGTGAAGAAAAGGGCCGTCTTTTCCTTGGCTGTCCGACTTCAACTCGATCCCCTGTCTTTGAGTCAATCGGAGAGGTTCCATTTCCTCGAGGATGAACAACCCGCGCACGAGGAAGTCATCCCAGTATTCTGTTTCTACATGTTGTAGTCCAAGCTTCTTAGCGGCAGTGACGGTTCTTGAAATGTTGGAGTAGAGTCGGATCTGCTCATCTCGGGGAAGAGAGACGAACACGTCGGTGCTATTAGGTCTCGGTGCTGTTCCGGGACCCGCCACCCGAAGCAAGAGCGCAGTGAAATGGAGGACGCCATTAAAGTCTGGTAATGCTTCGCAGAAACTCAGACACGTTCGTAATATCTCTAGCTTGAGACTCAAACTTCCGAAAGAGCGCAAAGACGATATCGCCAGTATGGTGTCGACGACGCGTTGACTAGCAATACTGTCCGATGCACTTTCCGCGTTCTCATCTCTCTGACTGGACATCCCGATATTGGGCATGTTTCCTTTCGAATTCGGTATTCCGTATATCCGGCCTAGCAAGCCTAGGAATTCCTCAATCCCATTCTCGACTTCGCCTTCGCCTAGATTGAGAGCACCACTCCCGGAGCTACCGCCGCTTGCGATATTGAGAGCTGCAAGGCCAGCAGCTGGATGTACTCCCATCTCTGCTGCACCAACCTTGCGGGCCTGTATCAAGCCAGGAACCAAAGATGTGATGAACTCCTTCATGACGATGGCTTTCTTGCGTTGTAGCCCTAAGGATGATAAGATCGAGGCAACGCCAGCAAGCACTACGACGCGGTCTGTGGGGTTCATGCCCGAGCTCTCCGCTGGTCCAGGTAATGCACGAAATAGCATAGACGCTATATCATTACGCGTAGGGTGTACACTAAGCCTCGGAACCGAAAGGCGTGGCTTTTGCTTGTATGGCGTATTCTGCACAAGCTGGCATAATGCATCATCATCTAGAAAGCCTCCGGATAAGTTGATGGCGGCCAGCAACTTGGAAAAGCGTATTACACATTCTGAAAACGCGAGCGGCGGCAAAGATTCGCCAGCGAAATTGGCCGCACGGGTGTATAGGTTCAGTATCATGTTGACCATATCTGGAAGCATGGAGTTCAGAGCGTCCAGTGAGTTGTCATGTTTGTGGGGTTTGGCGGGAGTCGACACGTCCGAGACACTGCTTGACGGTGTGTGAGTAGGTGACTTGTTACCTCCAGACTTATCGGATGTCGGATAGCAGATTGGGGGTATCTTGATGGTCAGTAAGATGATCAGACTGACGTCATATAAGAGTTGGACTAACCTGGAAGTCCATGCCTGACCATGCAAAGAGAAGCATACAGACCATAATATGTTCGAGAGCTTTAGCATGCCACAGATGGTCACTTAGAGCACGTGCTCTTGTCGCGGCTTCTGTAAGCTCTCGTACAGCCTCGACCCACTGGCCTGCGCACATGTACAAGGTACCGATCACGATCCCGATACGACCGCGTCCCTTGTTTCGAGCTCTTTCACCGACCCCGCCGGAACCAAAACCTGTAATCGACACGCGGTCCGCTGCGTTCTTGGTTGCGGAGCTGGGCCTGGCAGGATTGCTGTTTGTTTGGTGAAGCGTATTGGCAGCATTGATACCAGAAATTTCGTCGAAGGTTGTCGGGGGTGTGCGTGTACCTTGTGCGCTCAATGAAGCGGTCCTAGGGTCTTCGGTAGACAGGGGTCCTCCGGAACTTGATGGCAAGACAGGCATTGACGCGCGGTGACCGTCCTTCAGCGCATTTCCTACGGGTGACTCCGGTCTACTCCCACTTGGTGTTTGCGAGTTGCGACGCGAGAATTGCGAAGTAGAGTCAGATGCGGCCCAGCTTGGCGTGAGCTCCGCTGTGCCATTTTGAGAAGCGGGCGAAACTAAAGTAGGAAGTGCCTGTATGGACTTCGCCAGAGTGGTCATCTCTGCTAGCAAGGTTGCAGTCAGATCGCACATGAAAGTCTTCATCGTCGTGGTCTTTAGCTGTGATCTTGGTGGGATCAAGAGTGTCTCTTGTGGTAGGCGCGGATGTCGTGATGGAGTTGCTGAATCAAACAGCATGATGCTGTGGAGATACGCCCGAGGAAACTGTTCTCTGAGATCGTCGATACCGAACTGAATAGCATTGGCTTCATCATCGCCGGCTGAGGGTTCTTCAAATGTCGTGCTTGGGGTTCCGTCAGTCCCACGTGATGGCTGCAGCCAGGCATATTCGGACGCGTCTCCAATGCCGATGACCAGTAGAGGCTCTCTGAACTGTTCGAAAGGTGACAGTGATAGATGAGATGCCGATGGCAAAGAAGTCGATAAGTCATAAAGTAAAGTTCCGTCAGGCCATGCTAAAGGAGAGAACATATCTATCATTGCCAAGATCAGCAAACATCAGAGCTGATTTGGCACATGAGGGCTCATACTCCGGTCAGGTCGCGGATCAGGGCTGATATCGCCCAGTCGAACCAGCGACTCTTGCTGCAAGAGGTCGACAAAGGCTATGAAGCGCGAACGCTTGATGCGACCCACGGGGAGAAGCAAGGCCCTAATGCGCGCAGGCGCGATCGGGGACAGAGGGTCGACTGCCATCGCAACATCTGGAAGCTGAAGACCTAGTGGCCAAAAACAATATGCTCGATCAAGAAGATGACGCTGTGCTGGCGGGTGCTTGCATGATGCGTCGAATGTTCGGACGGTGAAACGGTTGGCGATCCTCAAAGCTTCGGCCTCGTGGCGGTGGCCCGAACAAAGAAGACTAAGCCGCTTTCGGTCTTGGCCC